CATAAAGATTAAAATTAGAGCATCTTTAACACTATTCATAAACTTCATTTTTACACTTCTCAATATTTCACATCATCCAAAACTTCATTCTTACTCATATCCTTATAAACCAACAATAATCAAGGGCCATAAACCTCATTTTTACACTTCTCAATATGTCACATTATCCAAAACTTTATTCTTACTCATATCCTTATAAACGTCCAATAATCAAGGGCGAATCTAGAAAAGAAACTTAGGGGGGACTAGAATTGTTAACGAACCAGACTGTGTTCGTGTGATTCGTGAAAACTCTTGTTCAACTCGCTAATATATTTAAGTGAGCCAAGCTATAACAATTGTTTAAACGAGCCAAGCTATAAAAGGAATGGTGATTCAATTACAAAAATTGAGAAATGTAGCGTGTAGTCAATTGAGATTTCTAAAGACTTTTTTTAAAAAATTTGATATATTCAGTTCAAATTTGCTATGACTTTTAAAAGTCTTGAGGTATTCAATTGAGATTTTAAAAAATCTTACAAAATCATGAGTTATTTAACTTATTTGAGACTATGATTTGTTCAGGTTTTTTAAGATTTGGTAGGATTTCTAAAGAAAAAACCTTATGCGAAATTTCATTTCAAATCCCACCTCCATACTTAAGTATACTTAAAATTTCACATAATTCCTCCAAAATCTGAAAATCTTAAAAAGTCTTAAAATGTCACATGAAATCTCAATTGAATATACTCACTAATTTCTCGACTTCAAATTGTTTTGAAACTACAAACTAAAAGAAAAAAACAAAACTGTGATAACATTCAAAATAAAGCCCAGAAGTGGTACATGACCTCAACAACAAAGAAAGACCAACACTTATTATGCAGATTCCCCATAAAACCAACCACAAGATGAAGAAGATAACATGATTCAGGCAACAAAGGCAAATAATAGATGCTGCATTTTAATGCCCAACGGAAATTCAGTTTTTCATCAAGGAAATCGTTCATTATTAATCAATACAAAAATGCTTTAAAAGTAGGCATCATACATATATCTATCTAAGCTCACTCTTGAATGAGTTGGCAAATGTTTCACTACTCATTTGAGTCCGACTCCCAATATCAAGAAACCCAGACTCAAATCCCCTCTCACCGTTAAAATAATATTCCAAAACGATGATGCTACGGTACCCTTCTATTATGACAAAATGTGCACTCATTCGAGATGTTTAACAAATCGGCATTATTCAAGCGACCAACAAAACCATTCTATTAGGTAATAATAATTTCACTTAACTTACCATTATATCACCTTCTCTTTCCTTTCTTTCTTCCCTTGACTTGCTTCTCCAAGCTCTTAATCCGTTGATTAAGGTCAGATGATGAGGGTATTCTTCTATTCGTAGGTTTTGATGATTGTTCGGCAGATGATGCTAGAGATTGTTGTTGTTGTGCTGCTGCAAACTTCTTTAGTCCTTCGAAGAATGAGAAGCTGGGTTTTTGATTAGTTGAAGGTGGTGGCACGGGTATGCTTGGTATTCCCAACTTCTTCTTAACAGCGGGTCTCTTTATCACTGGAAAGAACAAGAAATCAAAATAAATAAATAAAACTGAGTTATTAATATGAGAAATAATAGTAACCAGACTCACCTAATCCATATGCAAGTGAAAAAAGGTTGGAGGTGATCCAATAACAGAATATAGCCTGCAGATAAGCGATAAATGGAATTTACAGGTTTCACTGGTAAAATCAAATGAAATAATTTGATGATTTGGAAATAGAGCTATCTATCCAAAAGGAGAAAGAGTTTATCGCCAATATTTAACAAGGAATGATTACAGTATGAAAGAATCGAGTGTCTTATGTCGTGAAAACCATAAATGATACACCACATACCTTGGGAAAACTAGCTGTGAGAGGTATTGTCAATGCTGCAAAGACCCTAGAAACGTTTTTAATGGTACCGGCAGTAGGGTTGCCTTCTAAACCTTCTTGAGCATTGCACTGGAAAGAAAACATTAATCAAATATTGAACAAGAGCAAAGATTAAACATGAAAGGCCAGTCAGATCTGACAGGATCACAGGAATGAAGATGACCCTTGAAAACACGTTAGCATTCATCATATATGGAAGTAGCGGAGAAATGGTTGGAAGTAGGCAATGGGTTGTCGATAGAGCACTGACCATCTGATTTCTCATATTACATGATACAGACTGATTGAAATGTAGTGACATTTAACCTTAACCATTTATTAGGTGTTATTAGGTGTCTTACGATTTACAGATAGTGATTTCGCCAGGCGCCAACATATTTCCAATCAAATTTATCAACCTTCAAGTAACTTGATGGAACAACAAAAGTCAAGGTCCACAGGCAAGACATGCACAAATATTCTCCGGCAAGTCCAATTTTTCAACCAGCATTCAGTGTGCCAATTTGAGTAACTCAATGTCAACCATGACTAAGTTAAGGTATGTGACGGATGATAAAAAAAGGTGATTGCGTCTCAATATAAATACGAAGAGGAGAAAGAAAATGTAGCAAACCTCCACCGTAATCCAAAAAATGAAAATGATAATTAAAAAAAAAAGTGATTGCATCTCAATGTAAAAACACGAAGAGGAGAAAGAAAATGAGGCATACCTCCACCGTAATCCAAAATGTCAATGCCGTCAGAACGGGGAAAATATACATGCTATCAGGAGTTGTCAAATCAGTAAACCAAAATAATCCTCCCTCTTTGAAAGATGGAACCTTCTCTGCCATGTTATTAACCTGCAAAATGTAGTGAATGATATTCAAGGTCAAGTGCTTGAAAGATACGGATGAAATATAATTTTGAGGCAGAGAAAGGCATGAAAGGGAGAAGCAAGTTATCTATATAAAGCTTGAAGATAGTCATCGTACAGCAAAGAAGAAACTTGCAAAGATGGGAGCTGAAATTAGAAGTCCTTTTAAAGGGGTAAATGGGGTAACACCATATCTGCAATACAAACATGCAATAAAATCAGTGAACATCATCTGCTTAGTAAAGGTAAGTACTGAACTCGGAAAAATAAAAAGATATGGCAAAGACAAAAAGTACCATATGTGACCCACCCAGGTGGAATGCAAGATTTACTTTATTGATACACGATAAATACAATATATTTTATCTAGAGTTGGCAGTATGGGTAAGTGAGTGTGCGAGCACATTTTTTTCTTAATGGCAATGCTATCACCAAATTTTCATGAACACTACATATTTCTTATTAACAATAAATTCCTGCACCAAATGCAGTGATTATGCAGCTTACACAAGCACAGAACAGCAATCTCCAGATTTTCTTCCTGCGCAACTTTATAATTTTGTAGCCCATAGGAATCAAATAAAAATAAAACTATGTGTTCCTTTTTCCATGACAGATAGCTACAGTTTCGGTTCCGTATTTCCGTAGCATAACAAGAGCAAGTTTGACCACATCTTTCATTCACTAAGATCTGAAGTTCAGTTTGATCTGAACTCTATTAGCTTCAGGACTTAGAATTGAGTCATGTTATGATGCACTAGACCTTTGTCTGAGCTCCAGTCTTGTGAAAATAAAACCCAGCTCCAACAGGATTTTGAGTTCCATAAAGAAATCAAACCAAACTTTCAGCCTACCATTTACTGTCCCAGCCATATTAAGTGTTAGCCACTGTTACATATTACTATGAATGGATTGCCATTTTACGTTTTACTTGTTTTCTTTCTTTTTGAGAATGGTGTTGATCAGCTCCACCAAACATTTAATGAAGTTCTGAAAATAGTGAGACAGATCTATAAATCCCATAGCAAATGGACTTATACATTTATGATGACTTTCTCAACCAGTAAAGAAGTGAAAAAACATACTCTTTGAACAATTGTTTCATTCTTGCCTGACCTTCAGCAACAGCACTGGGGCTCATGTCCTGTCAAACAATAACTTGTTATAACCATTGAGAGTTGGAAGCAACAGAAACAATTAATATAGGTTATACTAGATGGAGGCAACAGCAAAATAGATTGTTGCAGGATACACATACACTAAAATGAGAGTAATACAAGTTAGGATTCCCAGAACATTCAGGACACGTCCTTGACAATCAATCAACCTGATCAATGAAAACAGTATCTGAAATAAAGCATACCCTATCTTGCATTTCTTCTTTGATTGCCTCCAACTTCGGTCTTAGAAGCTGCACAGGACACAATTACATAAATGTGTTCATACTCAAACAAAATAGAAAATATGGTAAACAAAAACCTTATGCTTAGATCCAGTTTTGAGGTCATGAGCAGATATATTATGTATCAAAACTTTGAATCTTTCTTGTATGGGAATTGTGGTATCATAAATATCCAGAGTACAAAAAATATAATGCAGAAGTACTTGTCGTGAATATAATCGGATATTTTCTTTTTTCAATTCTTCCCCACTGAAATAATATACAAGATTGTCATTTCTTAATGCCTCTAATCCAGAATAGAGGAACTTTTGCCACAAATTTTACATATATGTTGCTTCATTTCGACGGTCAAGCCTGTCATTCACATTCCAAGTCATCTTTTCCCAATCTCTAGTATTTAGGTTATGAATGGCCAATGGGGATGACGAAGGTTGGTGGAGAGCTATTAGAATTTCAATGATATGGAAGCGAACTGTATATTTTAAGTGACTTTATTTTCCGACAATAGAGGATTTCAAGATCATCAAAAAGAGATAAATGTAGATGGTCACAATGTCGTATATAAACAGAATCGAAAGATGCAAATGATAAGGCGTGCATAGAACTCACAGAAAATTTGGTAGTTGATTTCAGCTGATTCACAATTAGAGGAAGCTGAAGTGAACGAATCAAAAGAGTTGCCACAGCAATTGATGCCCACCTAAACAAATATTCTAAAACTTTTCACTTTTCCAGTCCACAAGAGCTTTATCAAAGACACCTCCAAGAACAAATTCATCATAACAAACAAGTATTATATCACAGCAAACACACCCATAAAATTTCCAATATTACAGTAGACTGCTTAGGCATGCAATTACTACTTAAGTGTCATAAATATTCACAAATCACAATGGAAATCTTTCAGGCACAAGATGATGTTCATCTTTGCATCAAACAATACCTCAAACCATACCATTTCCGCACACCAAAATACACTAAAACGCAGAATAAACCCTTACATCACAAGCGCAAATCAAAGACACCATTATATCCTCACCAATTCAATCCTGTATAGACGTGAATGTAGTCAATCATGTACTGGAGGGCCGCCACCGGGAAGAACGAATCTGCCGCTGCAACCGCCACTTCATTCACCACCGGCGCCACCTCCACAGCCTTCTCCCCCAAAACCCCCGCCATGTCGTTCAAAATCTCAATCTTATCGGCTGTCCCTTCTCCAACACTACCAGTAGAGAAGTTCCTACCCAGAATCAACCCACAGCCAGCTGGAACCGCAAATCTACTGCCCTGAAAACCATTTCTCGGCCCGCCAAAAGTGCTGAAAACACTCGTGTTCCCAAAAAGCCGGTGCTGGAAATAATTACTGGTTACCGGGCTCCTGGAAACGGGATCTGTGCGAAAATCATCTCGATCGCCATCATCACGATGTATGTGTGAAAACGGAGGCGCGACTCGATGCTGCTGTTGTTGATAGAAGAGTTTCGCTCTAGCTGTGATGCTTCGTCTGTAAGCCATTAGTTTCGCCTCCTGCAAGACGGACACAGAGATGCAAATGAAAAGGGCAGATTGACAAATATTTTCTTAAATGGGTATAGCTGATCTATGATGATAATCAACGATTCTGGAATTTGATGGACAGATGGAGATCTCACTAGGTACTTCTGCTGGGAGAAATGCCTAGGAAACAGTAAGCAGGGTTTTTTGAGGGTTTAGGATATTTTGTGGTGAGACCTATCGATGTCTTTACCAGTGAAGACTGACGTTTGTGCTCGTGTTTTGTGTGTGTGTGTGGGAGGCACAATAAAGTCGTTTATCCTTGCTTTGAGGTGGTGCCGTTAAATTAAACGAGTTTGGCTCGGCTCGACTCGGCTCGAGTTTGGCTCGTTAAGGATTGAGTTTGGCTCGAGTTCGATGCTTTAACGAGTCAAGCTCGAGCTCATTTAAAACTCGTTTGGCTAACAGCTCGGCTCGAAAATAGAATTTTTATATAATTTTTTATAGTTTGGCTCGTTAAAACTCGAGATCGGCAAGGCTCAAGCTCAAGACCTTAACGAGCCGAGATTGGGCTCGATTTCAAACTCATTTATTTAACGAGTCGAGTTCGGCTCGGCTCGTTTACAGCCCAGGTGAGACCTATCGATGCCTTATCAGTGAAGACTCGTGATTTACTATAATCGTGATTTGTATTTTTATTGTACATAGAGCTCTGTGGGTTGGAAAATAGAGCTCCAGATTATTTGACCCGTTCGCGAGCACTCGAGTTTAAGTTTGACTTGAATTTGAGTTAGAATTTGACCGAACACAAGTTGGAGCCAGCTCAAGTCAATTATTGAGACGATCTCGAGCCATTTTTTTCGCAAGGTCAAACGTTATGGAATTACTTAAATGGGGAAACTCTATAGCAGAGATTGACTTTTTGTTATTGTGTCACAATAAAGCCTGAATTTTCAACTTTTTTGTTAGAGGGTTTCAATTTTAAGTTATTTTCAATTGAAGAATTGTTTTATATTCGAGTTCTCAATTTAAGACTTATATTCACATTCTACTCTCAATTGAAAACTTCAAATCACTTTGTATTTTGACATAATTATGTAAACCAAAATACTATTTTTATTTTAAAAAAATTAAGTACTAATATTAAAAAAAAATATATTTAGTAAAATTACCTAATAAGATAATTATTTCATAATTTACATTTATGCAACAGGTTAATGAAATTTATTTTAATAGTTAAAAAATAAATTTTAACTTAATTTTAACCTAAATATGTGATAACATTAATAAATAAACTACTTTGAAAATACTTTTATTTTTTTTAAATAGAATTATCAAAAATATTATTTGAGAATAAAATTTATATTTTGAAAAAGTTAAAAATATATAAAATTAATACCTATAATAAAAGTATTAAATATATTTGTAAATCTAACTTCGCAAGAAAATTAATTCATATAAGTTACATTTATGCAAAATTTTAACAAAATTAATTTTTGAAGTTCAAAAAAATTGAAAATTGAATTGTAAGAATATATATTTTATATACGAATAATATTTTCAATAATATTAATTAGCAAAAAGTATAATAATTTTTTAAATATTTTCTTTTCTAATTTTATTACATATTTATATTATCATTTAATATAATATTTAAGTCATACATTCTTAAATTTAGTTTTCAGTACTTTTTAATTTTAAAGTAAATTTCATGAAATTTGTGTGTAAATACAACTTAAATGTATTAATTTTCCTACTAAAGTAATTTTACTAAAAATATTTATAATTATTTAAAAATAAATTTCAAAATAATAGTATTTTGGTTTACACAATTATTTAATATAAAGTTAGTTGGTGTCTTAAATTGGGAACTCAAATATAAAAGTAAGTGTTTAATTAAGAATAACTTCAAATTGAAACCCTCAAATGAAAATGCTGAAAATTCATGCCTTAAATCATCAAGAAACACACAGTTTCCTAGTTCGTGTATTAACGTTTCCTAGTTCGTATATTAATTCCAGCTTCAGGTAAAACTACAACTTTAAAAAGGCTTTATAAAAGTCAACAATCACATTAAGACACTTATAAATACCCATATTATATACACAAAATTGTATAAATAATTCCAAATGCCAAAATTTGAAAGATCATGAGCTAATCATGGTCCAAATTGGAAGAAGGGGTCGTAGAGGGAGAAGGAGAAGAAGAAGATATTGACAATGAAGACGAGCAAGGAGTGGTGCTATCAGGCGAATTCCTACACAAGGGGCAAGTCCCGTTAAGCTTGAGCCACTCGTCTATGCAATCTGCATGAAAATAGTGATTGCACTCGGGTATACTTCTCAGTGTCTCCTTGGCTTGATAATCAGACAGGCAAATCGGGCACGTGCCATCGCTCGGTTTTGGGAGCCGGAGGCTCTCCCCTAAGACCTTGGTGGGGTACGACTCAATGGTGGGCCGGTCTAGACCGCTAGCCGACCTAATTGAGGGCCGTTGATCGGAAAATGTGACGGGCAAATCGGAGTTTAATTGGCGGCGGACTGCGATTGTCCGGAGCATGCCGCAAGCGTAACATGCTAGCCCAATTATACACACTAGACCGGGTATTCCAACTCCTATTATCAGTCCATATCTGGCACCTCTAGGAAGCCCTGTATGAAAATAACACGGTATTAGGTAAAAGGAAAATAAATGCTACTACAAAATATCTTGGAATCATCTGGTCTATAGTAATTAATCAAGTTGGAGAAGTCAATTGTAGTCATTTTCATTTGAGGAGAAAAAGGAATAATTAATTGCCATTATTCAATTTTAAAACGATAGAGAAACATAACGTGGGAGACTAGATTATTACTTATTCCACTCAAAAAAACTTAATTTTTTAAAGTCAACACGAGGCGATAAGCGGGTCAAGGCATTGGGCAATTAAATATTGAACTTCATTGGTGGCTATTGATTATTAAAATATAAGTGGCTGCAGAAAGAATAACCTCTATTTAGACTTCATATTCAACACGCAGCTGCAACTCTTTAATTCTAAGAGCCTCAACAATCGAATATTCGCCGAATAATCATTATAATTTAAGATATATACTTGACAATTTAGTCCTATTATAAATTTATTACTGGGCCACATGGTCCTCTTCACATCACAATAGGTTACCAAATCAAAATGTACCTCCCAGTAGTTCATTTCACTCATCAGTGACATTCAATTTTGTTGATTGGGACTTTTTTTTTTTGGTACAATTGTTGATTGGGACTTTGATGACAATAAATTTTGTGAAGTAATTAATTGCGAAATCATAGTCCTTCCTGAATGTCCCAACCAAGACTTCACGCTGAAGATTAGGCCTCTAAACAAATCAAATCGAAATGAATGTCTAAATAGTTAATTTTAATTTAAAGAAAATGCTACAATTTCGTTACGGAACCATTCCGTTAAAATTTGTAATCTTTAGATTATCAAGTAACCGTCAATGATAGTTGATCTAACGGTTACAAATCCTAATGGAATAGTTCCGTAACGGGATTGTAACCTTACCCCTAATTTAAAATTATTGGAATAATTTTATTCGTTTATCATTTGAATTTGATTTGAGTAAAATATCCGAATGTATCCGATTTATTCGGTATTCGAAATATCCTATTAATATTTATCATTTTTTTTTTAAATTAGACCTAGTCAAATATAAAATTTCGTTTGCTAGTAATAATTTTAAGGAAATCGAAATATAAATATAAGTATGTACACTAATAAAAATATGTATATTGAACATGTAAAAAACAAATTGTATATACTAATGAATTAATAATATAAAATTATATATAATATAAGAGAAAATATTCCCTACAAACATATTATTTTAGGGGTGAGCAACGATTCGGTTCGATATAAAGTCGTACCAAACCGCAAAAAAAAAAAATAAATTGAACATACAAGAAAAACCAATTGAATTAATTTCAATTTAGGAGAAAACCAAACCGAAATTTTCTCGTGTTAAAAAAAACCAATTCACATCACATTGAAATGCATGGTTCGACTCAATTTTTTGTTTTTCCTCAAGTTTTTCTACATGTATATTTAACTTGGTATAGTTTGGTGCAAAACCATACAAATCCGAGCAAAACCAAAAACCAAAGTTACACACTAATTGAATCGCACGGCATTGTAGTGGAAAACCGAACAAAAATGTTTTAACTTTAAAAAAATGAACGGAACCACATTGAATTGTACAGTTCGACTCAATTTTGTCACCCCTATATATGACAAATGCGAATCGAATAATTCTAGTCTTCTAGATTTATATTTTTATTGGGTACATGAAACTGTAATCAAAAAGTTGTTCCAAAATCAGTTAAGTGCTGCATACTTAATCCATATTCACCACTCTCCAAAGTCCAAAGAGCTGAATGGGTAGGTAATGATAATGGTTTAATTAGTCAAGACTCTCCGTTACATATTCATAATCATGTCAAAAGTTCCGAGTACCATTTTTCCCTCACAAGTCACAAGACATGAACTAGGTACCGTTTAGCAATACTTTCTCAATAAATATAAATACTATTAAATTAAAATATTATTCTAAAAATAATATAAAGATATTTTATAATATAAGTATACATTTTTATTATAAATGAATGATGTATATCCACTAATCAAATGGCGGCCTCACACGAGAATTCGTGGAATTAAAATAATTAAAACAGAAGAATACATAAACAACATTTTTATAGGTTAAATTAGTAGTTGATCATGTGCATATTTACAGATGCAAAGAAAATATTATAGATTATATGTATATATATATATATATATTATTTAAAATTATAAGTTAGATGATGAATATATCACATTTTAAAAATTTAATAATTAGTAAAAATAAATAATATAAATATAAATTGCATAACTTATATATGAATCACTACATTTATGACATCAGTTGTGACAAATATTATAATTTTACAATTTTGATAAATTATAACCAACTAATTGAGTGCATGGGTATTTTTTATTGTTGTTTAATGTGATAAACTCATGTGCAACTAAAAGATATAAGGTCAATATTCAACAGTCTAATAATTATTATAACTGAGAATATATTGAAATCGTATAAAAAAGTTCGTAGTTTCAAAAGAATCAATAAAAGGGAACTGTAGATATGGACAACGCATTGGTTATTAACATAAAAAATATAATTATTACGCGTGTGTATCCAAAAAAGACGGAAAAAATAAAATATTTTTATTAAAAACTTTGCTTACAATTATACATATATGTATATTTTTTGTTGAGAAACATTAGAAGCTTCAACTCCCAGGCTTCTTTATGATTGCTTTGCCACATTAACAAGATAGGTCATAGGTCAATTGTTAATCAGTAAACAATGCCAGGAGTACTTTATATAGAATTTAAGTATTGAAATTAAATAAACATTAAATTCTAATTATTTAAGAGGTGATTGGATATGAATTCAACTAGTAAAAAACTAGTTTTTTTTAATTATAGTTAAGTTTGAAAAAAAGTAATATGGTTAATTGTTAGTGGATCTATTAAAATAATATTTAAATTAAAATAATTAAAGTTAATTTGATATAAAAGTAGGAGAAAGTGATTGGAAGTGATGGTTACTTAAAATTATGTGAGTGAGTGAATAGTGAATTAAAGTTGATGTGATGTGTAATAATGATTGGTTGATATTATTTAATTATATTAATAATATTGAAGATAGTAGAGTTGAGTTAAATCTGAGTTTTGAGTGGGATATTTACTGTACAAATCATATACAATCATGCGAGTTAAAAGACACAAAATCACCCAAAGATAGAAAACATAAATACCTCCAAACAAATGCAAATTGAGAAAATTGGTGATGGCATAGAGAGCGATATCTATCGGCTTTTCATTTAATTTGTAGTATCAATTGCCTTCGTATCTTCTTTGGGATCGGAAGTGGTTCGTATGGATTCACAATTTTTTTTTTTTCTTTTTTCTNAAAAAAAAAAAACTCACCTCGTGATTTTGCGGGCCTGAAGCATCCAATTTCGAGGCCCGAATCCTCCTTGAGCCCGCAAATCCCGCCCTCATTCTCGCATCCCCAGCATTCGGGGTCGCTCCACACTAGCTCCAGATCCTCCATCAGATCCATCGACGACCAGTAGAACTGCGACACCGTCCACTGCATCGGCACCAGCACCGACGCAATCCTCCGGCACGTCGGCGGCACCTCCGCCGTCATCCGCGAACTCGCCGCCACGACCGTGTAATTCCTCCCGCTGAGGCACATCAGGGGCATGAATCGGGCCTCGGTGTAGTCCATGTAACCAGTCGAGCAGTTGAGGAAGGTGTAATTCCTGGTGTAGACGCCCCTGAATCGCGAGCCCGAGAGGCTGAAATTGAGGATTCGGGCAGGGAGGCACGAATCCGGGTCGTTGATGAAAACGGCCTGGGCCGAGTAGTCGATGTGGTCCACCAGGAACTCGCCGGACTCCGGGAGTCTGAGGATCGTTTGGTTGTCGCTGTTGCAGTACAGATCGAAGCCCGGGTACCCGAGCCGGCCCGGGGCCCGATCCGCTAGCCGGAAAGGGAAACGGACTTCGGGCCCGTTGGACGGGTCGCAGTAATCGGGCCTTGGTGGGTTGGCGGATAGAGCTGGGATTATGAACAATTGGATTATGAACAATAGTGTGAGGATTATGGGTGATTTTGTATCCATCTGTCTCTTGTGTCTCATTTTTTGTGGAGTGGAAGCTCGTTTATATTAGGAGCTTAATAAGCTAAATTTGAGGTCAGGGGAGAGCCAGGGTGGGTGTATCTTTTTTGTTCAAATGGGACAAAAGATTTGACAATTTTGACACTGAGTTAAGGGATTTATTGGCACACATTCAATTCTTGAAAATAAATAAAAAAAAGTGGGAAGATTAGTTGGAATTGAAGAAGAAATCAAAGTTAATGGATGGTTTATTAAAGAAAAATGATACGTTAGTTGGTGGAAATATTCTCACAGAGTAGTTTAGACATATGGATGAGTGGAATTTTTGACTGAAAACATGTATTAAAGACGGTGGTGAATTGGCAAAAGTCAATGATGCTAGAGAGAAAATATAATAAATATATAATATTGTTTGGTGTTATGTTAGATTACACAATATATATTTTCATATTTAGATGTCTGTCGTTTAAAATATAATCACCGTCACCACTATATATAATTTCTGAATGTACTGAGTTTGAGTGCCAGACGGGTTTATGTGCCATATTTTTAAACTTTGTTGATTAGTTTGGATGAATTTTAATTTATTTTTAATTCAAAAGTAACTAGGCTTGGAATATTCCTAAATATAGTGAATGTTTATGGTCCATTTGAATAGCATTAATTATGTTTTAAATTATTATTTCCTGATATGATGTATAAGGTATAATTTTTTTTTCAATCTATATTTTAAAATTATAACAAACTTACTAACTTAAACTGTATATATATTTAAAAGTTAATAAATTTTTTATTTATTAACAAATTTTTATATAGAATATATCAAATTAATCGTGTCCCGATGAGCTTCGATTTGACATCTATATTATATATAAAAAATAAATAGATAATTTTATTTATCTTTATAATTAAAATTATTATACCATTAATATTAATTTGAAAATATAAAATTATTTAAACTAACTTAACTACAAAGTAGTTATCTGATATAAATTAAAAATAATGTTATAATATAAATAGTAAGTCAAGTAAGTGACGGTGTCATTTTAAATATAAATAATAATATATTTTTCCAAAAAATATTTTAAAAACAAAAACAATTTATATTGTTATTATTATTTCATTTTAAATATAATTTCTTAACAAGTATCCGTGTAGTACACTGTACACGGGTATTATACTAGTGTAAATTATATTATAATATTTGTTTTAATATGCACTTTTTAATAAAAATATATATTTGTGTAACCATTTGGCGGTTTAACCAGTATATGGTATACAATATATATAATTATATATACACACACATTAAGTAAGCAAATGAAATGCATTTTTTTTTTT